AGTGTTTCTAATGGACAGAATTGATGACAGATACATTGGAAAGAAGGGTTTTCAGCAATCTGGTGGGATAACCAATGCATTTCTAGCCCTACAGGTTCACAAGGTATTTGTTTTTAAAACTTTTCACTAGTCCAGGTCTGAATATTGCTTTTTCTGCGCCTCGAGCCCTTGTAACTTGGGGCAAGGGGAGGGGAAGAGGGAACTCCACAGATGGGAGAAAGCAGAACGCACATTTTGTAGCAACTTGGTGGTTTTGTTCTGGTTTTAAAAGGCAGCTTTTTGAAGCTGTGCAGAGGTTAGGAATGTTAAAAATTGTCACAGCAGAAGAGTCAGTGGACACAGGGCAGGTGAGCTGGTCAGAAGTGCAAGAGTAAATACTTGCCGAATTGGTTTTATGATTTGCTGAGCTCCTCTTGACTTAAATGTGAATTGAGGACTTCACAGGATTGAGCATGGAGCACATCACAGGATTGAGCTCCCTAGGATCCAGCTCTATCGCCTTTCTTCACACAGCCCTCAGTTCAGCAGAGCACTTAAGCAAGGGCTTAGTTTTAAGCATGGGCTTAGTTTTAAGCACATGCTTATCTGAGTTCCAGTTATCCTCAGTATTAGGACTAGACATTGAGAGTTTCTTTCTACTAAGCTCTTGATTTGAAATGAGAGTGGCGGGGAGGGGGCGGGGACAGAGTAGGGAAAAGAAATGACTGCAATTAGGAAATGAATTAGCATCTGATCATAAACCAAAGAGAAAATAGTACCAGTGTATGGGTGGTGAATTTAAAAAAAAAAACAAAAAAAACTTTTTTTCTTTTTATGAAAGGCAGGATGGTCCAGTGGTTAAGATGTTAGCCCAGGACTTAGGAGACCCAGGTTAAATTCTTTGCTTTGTCATAGACAGCCAGGGTGACCTTGGGCAACATCTTTGTACCTCAGTTCCCCATCTGAAAAATGACAGATAATAGCACTGCCCTGCCTCACAGCGGTGGTGTAAGGATCAATATATGAAAAATTGTGAGGTACTTGGATACCCCGGTCAGGGGAGTGGGGGGACCATATAAGTAGCTTAGATAGGTGGACAGCTTTACCAAATTTGAGATCTAGTTAGAGGAAGATGATAATGTGCCTGTGTGGAGGGGACAAAGGGGATGTCGGGGAGGGATAGCTAAGTGGTTTGAGCACTGGCCTGCTAAACCCAGGGTTGTGAATTCAATCCTTGAGGGGGCCATTTCGGGATATGGGGCAAAAATTGGGGACTGGTCCTGCTTTGGGCAGGGGGTTGGACTAGATGACCTCCTGAGGTCCCTTCCAACCCTGATATTCTATGTGCTGATTGCTACAGACTGAAGGTGTCAGAGCAGACAGCAAGGTAAATACATGTTAACCCTCCCTGTCCCCTCCACACATGTGTTACAAAGCTCCGCTGTCTTTCTGAATGAGCCTCCAGGGGCTTCACAAGCCCAGATGGGCTTCCCTCTAACACAGCAGTCTCCCCGACCAACATAGAGGGCACCCTGGGCGGGGGTCGTCCTGCAAAAAGGTCAATACAGAGCCCTCCCTTGGTGTGAGAGCAGGCCAGGCCAAGGACTCACCCAAGAAAGTAGCCAGCTACCGGAGGGGGGAGGAGAACATGGGGTGAGAGGAACTGCTCGGGAACCAACCCCTCCTGCTTGCGGCTCTGACCTAGCACTGGAACGTTCAGAGACTGAACGTTCCAGTCGCCCCGCCCCGGAATGTTCAGACAATGAGCGTTCCACCCGCTTCCCCGGGGTTCATAGGAGCGGAGAATGTTAAGGTGATGGGCGTTCCGCCCTCCGCAGTCAAGGGCCGCAGGGCGCCTGCCGCAAGGATGCAGGGGGGTCTCGGGGCTGCTGCAGGATTCCTTCAGCACCAGGGACAGCTCCCTGTGTCCTGCCTCTGTCCTGGGGCCGGAGTGCGGCGGCGCTGCATCCTGCTCCCTGCCCCCCGGGGTAGTGCACAGAGGCTGTCACACGGGGCAACATGCCGCCTCTGTGGGGAAGAGGCTTATCACTGGAGGGGTCCAGATCGTTGAAGGGGATCCTCTCTTTATCCCTGGCAGGGGCGAAGAAGTGCCTTTCTTATCATCATTGGGGGAAGAGGTGGTGCTATCCTTAGCTAGTGTGGGGATGCCCTGTGGGAAGAGGGTCTTATCTTGGAGGGAGAATTGTTTCTTGATTCCCTGGATAGTGGAACATGGGCATGGGGAGGACCCTGAGAACATTTTCCTGGCCCCGGGAGGAAGGGTTGGGACACCTTATCCTGCTCCATGTGAAGGAACCTTGTTTTAATGCCCCGCTAATTATAGAGCCCAGTCAAAGCGGGAATGACCTTTCTGACCATTAGGATAGTCTAAGGAACTATATTTATAATAACAGAATAAAAAAACACCCAGGGCACTTTTCCTGCAAGCTCCAAAGCCATCCCATAAACATCAGTTTTGCCTTGGACACATAATGCAATAACGAGTAGCTGCTGCTTCTCCTCACTCCTACACAGGCTAAACTATTTTCACAAACAAATAATTGTCAAGTCCCTTCTACTTTTAAAGACTGGGCCAAATTTGCAAGAGGAACAATTAGGCACAATTCCATTGCCTTCAGACACGTTGTGCCTGTGTATACCAACAGTGAATTTAGTTCAGTAGATTCAAATTAGACTCACATAAAGAATTCCTTAACTACGCAACGGTATCTGTCATCCTTAGGGTATCTGTCATCCCTAATATCTGGTTCTGGGCAGTTCAAAATAAGGTGTGTGTTTCAGTTCCTAAAAGTATCTCTTTGGGAGAGGAGTGATTAATGTTTTCAATACAGCTGGTAAAATTATTCATTGCAAATAATATTCACTGTGAACATAGCCTTTGCGCTGTTTTGGAATCATTCACAAAGTCACCCTTATAGATGTGGATGTACTTGTAGTTCATAAGTATTCACCAAACAGTTTGGAAGAACAGTTTTCAGCCTATGGTTTGTTTTTACTATTTGCCTTGTGTGAGTAGTCATTTATGTCACACAGGCCTTGTCTACACTAGAACAAGTTTGCCAGTAAACCTATACTGGCAAACCATCCTCATGTCGACACAGCTTTTGCCAGTTTCCTGAACAAAATAAGCGATGCTAGCAAAAAGACTTTTTTACTTTGTATAACTACATCTACACTAAAAGAAAAGGAGGACTTGTGGCACCTTAGAGACTAACCAATTTATTTGAGCATGAGCTTTCGTGAGCTACAGCTCACTTCATCAGATGTTAACATCTGATGAAGTGAGCTGTAGCTCACGAAAGCTCATGCTCAAATAAATTGGTTAGTCTCTAAGGTGCCACAAGTCCTCCTTTTCTTTTTGCGAATACAGACTAACACGGCTGTTCCTCTGAAACCTACATCTACACTGGAGCTTTTGCCAGCACAGCTGTGTCAGGTGGGATTCCCACCCACCCACACTCTCTTAACTGACATAGGTTTGCTGGCAAAACTTTGAAGTGTAAACTAGGCCATATAGTATTCTTCCTGTTCCCGGATTGGATGAAACCTTTACACAGGAAATTAATATATATCAAGTAGCAAATATTGTGCAATGTTTGTGCTTCCTGTGGCTTTTGGGTGAAGAATCTGTGTGCTAAAATTCATATAAATTTCAAGACGTGAACATTTTCAGATGTATCCAGTGGTTGCTGGAATGCTCATTATGGCAACATAGTGAAGTAAGGCTGTTTATTCATGAATGTACCTTCCAATCTGTGGGGGGCGGGGTTAAAATTCTTGTTGTCCAACCAGCTGTAATTTTCTCCAATAATCAGATGGTGTGGGAATCATTTTGTATGCACAAGATGCAGCACATCAAGCACTCTTTAGGGTCAAATTGTGCCTCCTTTTGTTCAGACAAGTGAACACTTTCTCACACGAGTAGGTCCAGTGACTTCATGTGAGCTCACCATTGTAACCAAAGGGGTCACAATATGGCCTTTATTAATTAAAAATTGTAGAGTGATTTATAAAATGTCAGTGTTGTCTTTTGTAGGAACTCCCATGCAATATGAGTTATGCAGTATATTTGAACCTATCTCCTGCAGCCTGGCAACTGTCTCTGTTGCTATAGAAACATGGTTTCACCATCCTTTCATGCTGAACTTCAAGTATTTCCATTCCTCCCTCTTGTTAACATTTTATAAGTTGCCAAACACACTCAGTTCTTGTTTATTTTATTCTCTTAGTTATATGAATAATTAGGATCGCTTCCCAAATTATGCAATTAAAAAAACCATTATTCAGCACTTCTTGTTTCATTAACTGAAGAGTATTTGATAGCCGAATAAAAGTTCTTACACAATTTAATCTATACGGTCAGTTTGCACTGTAACTATAATTGGATGTGTTTAAGATACAGATTTATAACATATGTTTAATGTGCATCTTTGTGAATCATCATGTACATAATAGATGTGATGCATTTGAAAATATGTTGAAAATATGCCTATTGCACAAAAGTATCCATTAACTCAAAACACTTTTTCTTAACATAACAAACAGCCAGCCTTTGGGACTCCCTGGGACATGATGCTCCAACACTAGAGCAATGAAGTCTATATAAGTAGATAATATTATGTAAAGAGCTTAGCAGGATTCAAAAAAGGATCAGACCATTGACTGGACAGCTCAAGAGTGCTACATGACAGCAAAGTATTTTTCTTATTATCTGTGTAAATAATAAAAATATCTGCAGGCTACTTTCAATAGGGCAAAAGACGCTGGGAAATAGCTAACCTCATGCTTCAAAACATAAGGCTACCACTAACTGCCTGAAGTTGGGAAGCAAGGTCCCCATGGTTATTGCAAAATTTACATTATGGGGTTTTCCCACCTTTCCCTGAAGCATTGTGTATTGGTCCCTGTGGGAAACAGGATTCTGTGTTAGATGGACAGTGGATCTGATCCAGTTCACCAATTCCTATGTTTCCATAGTAGTCAGCAATGTAAAGGTCATAAGGCTCACTTTGTGTCATTCTGGGCCTGATCCCTAGCTGGTGTAAATTCTCACAGGTCCATTCAATGGCACTAGACCGATTGGATTGGGCCTTGGATTTATCACTGGAAAGGTCCAGATCACTGATGGGTGAGGAGGTTGAAGGGGATCCTCGCTTTATCCCTGGCAGGGGCAAAGAACTGCCTTTCTTATCATCATAGGGGGAAGAGGTTTGGGACCAGTTTTGGGCCCCCCACTACAGAAAGGATGTGGACAAATCAGAGAGAGTCCAGCGGAGGGCAACAAAAATTATTAGGGGGCTGGGGCACATGACTTAAGAGGAGAGGCTGAGGGAACTGGGATTGTTTAGTCTGCAGAAGAGAAGAGTGAGGGGGGATTTGATAGCAGCCTTCAACTACCTGAAGGGGGGTTCCAAAGAGGATGGAGCTCGGCTGTTCTCAGTGGTGGCAGATGACAGAACAAGGAGCAATGGTCTCAAGTTGCAGTGGGAGAGGTCTAGGTTGGATATTAGGAAACACTTTCACTAGGAGCGTGGTGAAGCACTGGAATGGGTTACCTAGGGAGGTGGTGGAATCTCCACCCTTAGAGGTTTTTAAGACCCGGCTTGACAAAACCCTGGCTGGGATGATTTAGTTGGTGTTGGTCCTGCTTTGAGCAGGGGATTGGACTAGATGACCTCCTGAGGTCTCTTCCAACCCTAATCTATGATTCTAGACATTTCTATTGTTAAAGGCCTGATCCTGCAGGCTTGATTCTGGCAATTGCTCACTGATGCAAAAGGGAGTTTTGCCTGAGGAAGGGCTTGTTTTAAAACCCAAGGTAGAGTCTTTTTTAAATGCCTGCTTCTTGATTTTAAGTGCTGAATAGATGTGGCTCCCTCCGTTAGTCTTTCAAGTATCCAGACAAGGCAGAGTATTCAGAGAAACCTTTACTGTTCTGTGAAATATAATGCCGGCTTATTTTGTATAGCCAGGGGGTTGTGCCCAGGTGCTGAGGTCAAGACCACCCTCCCTTTCCCATCTTGCTAAATAGGAGAGGGTCCAGAAAGTGGAGAGGGAAGTGCTGGCATAGTAAAGATTGAGATCCAATGACATTATGTACACCTTTCTCCTGCACTGTACAGGTCTCAAATCCTTTACAGAGTTAAATACCAAATGAAGGCTTAAATAATGAATAGCAGCAGCGGGAGAAAAAAGAGAAAAAAAAAGCAAGGGGGTGAAGAGATGTTCTGGCTGAGAAATCTATATAGAAAGAATTTGATTTGACACGTGTCAGTTGTGGATCATAATCCTAACAGAAATATTGGGAGGAGACTGGCAAGAGAATACAGATCAGTTGATTTTTGGCATATACAGTGCTACAGTTCCTAAGCCTATGGGGTACAAAAGCCAACTCTCTCCTACTCCCGCCAATCAAAATGGATTGTTCTGAAGCTGGATTGCTTGTGTGATAAAAGTGTAGGAAGCCGATGGCTGCAGAGTAATGCAGAAATAGCATATGAGAGAGAGAAGAAAAGAATCAAGTCGCAGAGGAGATAATCAACAGCATTAAGGGAAGACGTCTATAACCTCAGCAGCTGTGTTTATGCTGCTTTCTGTAATAGGCATCAGCCTTCTATCCCTAGGGAGATTTTACAGCATTAATTTCCTCTGCACAATTCCTGCCAGCAAGGCTTCTCTTCAGCAGCAACCTTTACCAACCCTCCACCTCCCTCTGCTACTGAGAGAGCGAGAGGGGCCAGTAGGAACTGCACCCCTCCACCTGATCTTCCTTTGCTCTCTTGGCCCAATGTCTCCTGTGCCCAATGAAGCAGATCCCGAAGTGCCCCGAATGGACCCAAGGATTCTGATTTTCCTTCTCTATGTGATGATCCTCCATGAGCTGGTCAGTGGCTGGATGGAGTATCAGAAACAGGTAACCAAACCTAAGAAGCAAGCGGGTCCAGTCTGGTCCTCTAGGTGAGTTGATGCTTAATATTAAAGAAGAGGGGAATAGCCGGATGCTTGATTCGTGTATGACGGGGAAGGTTGCTCTCTTATAGATGGTTACATTGTGTATGTATATCTCCCTCTGCACTGTGTGAATACACAGACATGGGGTTAGGGCTGTTTATCTTTTGACCACGCACCATATGAACACATTGTGGATTTGATTTATAGTCACAGATTTATGCTTGTGGTTTGTTTTAATGTGGATATATAGTATAACTCAGTGACCCTCAAACAGCGTATATTGGAGGAAAAGAGTGTGGCTAACTATATTGATCAGTGTAACATAAACCTCAGTAGACAACTTGTAATTTGAGTATTTTAGATTAAATCACTGGAGATTATGTCAATATCAAGTGCTTTCCCCCCCCACTCTGTGTTTGGGCTCTGCCCGTTATCCTAATCTTTGTTTTCCCCTGCACAACATGAAATACGGTGTGGGGAGATGAGGCTGCAAAAGAAAAGCCCCAAATGACCTTAATACTTACACTTAAGTGTGCGTCTGTGCAATCGTTAGCCTTGCACTCCAGTCACATAACATCATGATGTTTGTGATAACCATGTCCGTAATAATTCTGGAATTTTACGACAACATATTATTTGCCATCAATTCATCAGGCATGCGTGCCACACAAACTGCTAAAAGATTAAAGAGAACTCCTATTAAAAGAGAAAGAGGATCCATTAAAATACCGCTCGAAAAAAGCTGTTCCCTTTTCCCATCATTCAAATGATACCAGGTCTCAGAGCCATTGGCAATAGTGAAATGACAATCTTCTGGCCTTGGAGCAAAAGGTACCAGTGACACCATTCTCATTGGGTCTCAGAGCCAAAGCAGGAGTGAAACAGCTTGCAATGGAGCCCAAGAGCCACAAAGGGGTCATTGGTCCAGCTATACTATGTAAGCCAGAGGGAGGCACAGGAAATTATCAGTTCTTGCTGGCTGCTACGTTGGACCCTGCCCGATTCCTGAGCCCTGCTTCCCTGCCTTGTCCCTATTTCTGGCTTTTCTGCCTTGTTCCTGATCCCTGCTCCTGGTCTCTGACTCTGATTCCAGCTCTGACCCTCAACCCGACTTCAACTCTGGCTCCATCCCAGATTCCGACTCCTGCTCTGATCAGTGGGTCTGAATGCCCAAACCCTGGTCATACCCAAACGTGCCGGGGCCCACAATATAGAAAGGCCAGGGATTCGAACAGCACATCCCAGGACAACCCCACTTTCTGTCTGAAACCCCTTCTTCTCAAGGGAGTGAAGATGATTCTTGGGAGTTCATTGCTATTTTAAACAAGTTGACAGGGCCTAACCTGCCCCTGACACTTGTATAAAAACTTGCAGCATTACAATGAGCAGTCAATACCTATGTAGCAAGTAGCTATAGCACTGACCAAGTAGCCAGGGCTGGACGTAGTGAGACAAAGTGTCTGAAGAATGATATAAACTAGGGTTTTGCAAGCTGCAAGTTTCCCCGACCCCAGCCAAATGGTCTCTTTCTGGTTCTTTTATGTTCTGTCTTTCTATGTTTTATTAATTATTACTATTACTGTATTGCAGAAGCACCTAGAGATCCCAGTATGGCCCCACTGTGCATATATATAGACCTAGTGGATAGCGCCCTGGACTGATATGCTGAAAACATGGGTTTTCTTCCTGGCTTGGCCCCGGCCTGTTTGAGAACCAGCATCTCCGTGCCTCAGTTTCCCCCTCTAAAAAATTGTACCTCCTTTGTAAAGCACTTTGAGATCTGCCGATGAAAAATACTCTATAAGAGCTCGTTATCATTATTATAACAAAAAGGTTTTCCTTCCCTCCAAGAGCTTACAATCCAAGTAAAAGACAAGGAAGAACAGAGTCCTCCTTCCCTGCAGAGTTCCTTTTTCCAGCTACATTTTCTTTTTAGTTCACAGGACGCCACAAGAGCAAATCCTGTTTTAACCATGTCGGGTCACTGTTGTGCTGGGGACCTCGTTACACCCTGGTGGTAATTGTTATAACATGGACAGGCACTTAGAGGGGCAATCAATCAGTGACATGAGGTCAAATTGCCAGCAGCTTTCTAAAAGCACAGCTTCACTGCCCTCTCCTTGTTTCTCCTGGGTGAAGACTGGAGCTGGGCAAACAACATGCAGCTAGCCACGTAGTCTGGAAATGTATCTCCCTTTTCCTCTTTGTGAATCACTTCTGCACAGACTGCAATTTTCACAAGCGTTTTGCTGTTCAAAATAAATCAAAAAGTCCATACACACAAATTCAGCCAGTGCATTGGATTGCAAGCTGTGTCCTGGGTTGAGTCATTAATTCTCAGTGTCCGACTGGTCATCTAAGCTATATGGTATGGTTTCTATTCCCTCGTTGGAGAACAAACTTTATTATAAATTTCATTTGTCATTATGGATTTGTTGTTTTGATGAACATAAAAGGTAGTATTTTTTAATTGTGTTAACAACCACTTTGGCAGAGCTCCAACCTTGTCTCAGTGGGTCCTGTGCTTCCTGGCAGATTATGCTAGCCTCAGAAGCTCACTGTGACCCTCTGTGTAGCCCTTCTCCTTCTAGGGGCAAGGGTCACATTTTCATCATAAGCCAGCAAAGAGATTGGTGAGAGAACTCCCACAGTCTCCTTTGTCCCTACAGGCTTATTCCAGAACAGTTTAGCCTCCTGTCCTGACAGGGGCCTGTCTTCCCCTCCCAGGAGGTGTTTCTGTAGTGGGGGGGGGGGGGAAGAAACCCAGGCCCTCCCTCAACTCTGGGTTCCAGCTCAGAAACCCTAATGGCAGCAGCTATTGGCAGCCAACCTTTCACTGCCAGAATTGATACATTTCCCTGGGCCACTTCCCCACAGCTCCCCCACTTCTTTCTCTTAACACCTTCTTCACCTTAAGGCTCGCTGTCTAGTGGCTTGGCAGTATCTTCAATTACCCAGACCTTCCACTGCACTTGCTCTCCCCTGGCTCTTCTTGGCCTGACTGGAGTGAGCCCTTTTATAGTGTCAGAGGGGCCTTAATTAGAGTCAGGTGTTCACATTAACTTAACAGCCTCACCTGACTCTTTACAGCTTAATTTGGAGTCAGGTGTTCTTATTAGCCTAATGGCTTCAACTGACTCTTTGCAGGCTAGTTGGAGTCATGTGTTCACCCTAGCCCGGAGCAGCCCCTGCTCTGGTCAGTCAGGGAACAGAAACCTGTTCATCCAGTGGCCAGTAGATCAGCCTTTGACTCCTTTGCTGAACCCAACTGGCCTGGAGGGAGATTGCTGCTGGGCCTTGGGCTACCGCCCCAGCTGCTCCCCTGGCTGGGCCAGACACCACCCACCCCCCTTCTCTGCTGCCTGGTTGCTGATGAGCTGCTGGACCCTGCCCCCCACCCTTGGGTGCTGCTGCTCCAACTACAGCCCCTGGGCGGGGGAGTGAGGAACCCCCACCCCAGCTGTTGCTACTGCTGCTGTGGACACCACCACCCGTGAGGGGTCCTCTCTGCCTGCCTGGCCGCCGGGCGGCTGCTGCCTTTGCTGCTGGACCCCGAAGGAGGCAGGGACGAGGCCTTCAGCCGCTGGGGGAGCGCACAGGGACTCTGCAGACCACTGTGGAGGGGGCCTGAAGGCTGAGTAACTTTTGAACGGTGCTCTTGTGGTGGAGGTTTTGACTGGGGGGGGGGGGGGATGCAGGGGGTGTGGCGTGGAGCCTGCCCCCCAGTCCATCTTTGTGTCCCCCCCACCACCACTGTCGTCGCTGCCCCCTCCACCACCCCCAGTGGACACTCACTATCTGCCTCAAGCTCCTGCCTCTGGGACTCCGCTGCTTGCTTGGCCTGCCGCCCCCTTTCACCACCTTTTGGGCCTGAAGCAGCAGCCAGCCCGCACTGACTCTTTGCAAGCGCATGTGGGCACATGTCTTCCCCCCCCCCCCACCCCAGACTGGCCCCCTTCAACAAGCCCCCAGCTTTGTCCCTTGCTACCTGCCCCATTTTGCCCCTTGCAGCCTTTTTGCCCTCCCGTTTACCCCAGCACCTCACTAGCTTCAGTTTGTTTGCTTGTCCCGCCCTTTTCCCTCTGCAGCTTTTGTTTGTTTGCCCCACCCCAGCCTCTGAAGCTTGCTCCTTGGTTCCCTGTCCTGCCTCCAGCCTGGTTCTCCCCCCTCCCCACGTGGTGCCCCTGCCCTGATTGGCCCCTTACTCAGTGCACCCATGCCCCCCCCATGCGCTTGTGCCCTTCCCCTGTTTGAGTTTGCCCCGATCTCACTGCACCTCCCCTAACATTATGACCCCCCTCCCCTAGTGCAGCTAGAGGAGCTGGATTTCTATCCTGAGTTGGTGACTGTCCCCCACAAGCCCTTGCTAGCCCTCCTGTCCAGCCCACCCCTTTTGGCGCCCTCCTCCCCTGCCTGCAGCCTAGCTCCGATATGACCAGCAGCTCCTTTATCTCCATCCGAGAGGTCTTCCGCGAGACCTCTCTGGGCTGCCGGTCTTCTACCAGGACCTCCTCCAGACCTGGAAACTGTTCACAGCGACCAGGTCCATGGCGGCCTCCGTGGGGGAAGATCTCCTCGCACAGCTCCTGCAACACAACCCCTAGCTCCGTGCGCAGGTGGCGGAGTCCCCCTCGGTGCGCCAGAGGTTGGTTCTGGCAGAAGTCACCAGAGTCGGAGACCTCCTGGACTACAACCGGGGAGATTGGCTGGATCCCCTGACACTCGCTCAGCGCATGGGGCTCTCCAGACCTCGTACTCCCCTGCACGTACTTCAGGAGGTGAGGACCGCTTTGCCGCCCGCTGCTCGGGTTTACCTCGACCGGGTCCTAAAGGGAGGGCGTGCCCTGCCCACCCTCCACCCCAGGCCCTCCGGACCTTTTCATCGGGCCCCTGCCCTGTGGACCCGACCGCCCCTTCACCATGAGCCGTTTATGTGAGCTGCAGCCGGTCCGTTTCCAGACCGCACCAAGGAAACATCTATACACACTCGTGCTGCACACCCTTCACGTCCTCACCCTCGTGTCCCACCCCAACACAAAGTGGTGGGACCTCCTGCCACCTCTAGAGGGTGAGGAGCCCTGGTGGGCCGGCCTATGTTCCACTCTGGTCCCAAGGCTCACCGGGGATATCGGTTTGTGGCTCTTTCACGGGGCCATGAGCACGGGCATGCACTTGGCACGGTTCACCCCAATCCCAGACACCTGCCCCTTTTGCGGCGTGAGGGAAACCCTGGCGCATGTATACCTGGAATGTGCCAGGCTGCAGCTCCTATTCCAGCTCCTCACATATTTTGTTAAGATTTTGGTTGCACTTTTCCCCTCACCTCCTTATCTATGCACTCACTATCTGTGGCCCCACTAAATCACGGGACATCCTGGTCAGCCTCCTCCTGGCCCTGGCTAAAGTGGCCATCTATAACACCAGGGTGAGGAGGTTGGCCGATGGAGTCTCCTGTGACTGTGGGGCCTATTTCCGATCCTCCGTCCGTTCACGCCTCCGGGCGGAGTTCCTCTGGGCAGCGTCCACTGACTCCGTTGACGCCTTCGAGGAGCAGTGGGCACTGTCCGGGGTTCTCTGCTCTGTGTCCCCATCCGGTTCCCTTCTTTTGACCCTTCGACCGCACTCCTGTCCCTGTTGTTCGTTAGTTGTCCCCCGTAATTATTTGGTTTTCCAGGTCCTGTGGACCCCCCTCCTAGGCTGGGGGGGATCCTTTAGCAGTGGGCCCGCCCACTTCCTGGATCCCAATAAGACTCCTCTGCTGTACCCAACTGATCTGGGTCTATCGCACCACGTACTAATGCCTTCTAAAACTCTAGTGCAGTCAAGGCAATCTGTAGCTTAGCATGTGCTGGGTGGTAGAGTTGAAAGCCTAGGGGAGGAGTGTGTGCTATAGTACGTTTTGCCTTGTCTAGAGCTTTAGAAGATATTAGTACATCCTAGCTACCACACTCCACAACACACCTTTGAGCCTAGTCAAGACAAATCCTGAAGGCAAAATTTACCCTCTTCCAGAGGGGCCAGCACTAAGAGCTAGGGGTCAGAGTATGTCTACCCTAATAGGTGTGTCTTTAACTTGGGTTAGCTCGATCGGTTGGCAGAGCAACCAGGACAAATGCCCACTTTTGTTAAAGTGGAGTGTGGAGGAACGTGCAGGGGGGAGGAGTGGCAAGGCCAGCCCCACGTAGGGCTCGGGTGGGGTGCAGGCAGGGCTCGGGCGAGCAGTGACGCTACTCCCACTCAGGCCAGCCCCACACAGGGAGAAGGGGAGGGCTTGGGCTAGCCCCACGTGGTGTCCCGTTTTCCCTTTGGGAAATAGGGTCACCCTAAGCGAAGACAATGGAGCCGCTGCCCGATAGGGTTGAATGGGAGCTGCTAACCCAAGTTAAAAGCTGTGGTGTTGTGTCTTTGCTGCTGTGTTAATTCAAGTTCAGATCATACCCCTCCTTTCTTTCCAGAGTAAACGTACCCGTAGACTAAAGCTGCACCCAAAGGGTGACTAATCCTCCTGCTGGCCCTCGGCATGGGGGTGAACTTCACCAGTCTGAATTTCACGGTGTGATTCAGCTAAGCCAGGGGTGGCCAACCGGAGCCTCAGAGGGAGCCAGAATTTACCAATGTACCTTGCCAAAGAGCCACAATAATATGTCAGCTCATCACCCTGCTCCCAGTTCCTCCCACCCACCGGCAGCCCTGCTGATCAGCGCCTCCCCCTCCCTCCCCACACCTCCCGCTCAGCTGTTTGGTGGCCTGCAGAAGGCTCTGTGGGGGAGGGGGAGGAGCGAGGGCAGGGCAGGCTGAGAGGAGGGGGCGGGAAGGGGTGGCGTGGGGGCAGGGCCTGGGGCAGGGCCAGGGATTGAGCAGTGAGCACCCCCTGGGCACATTGGGAAGTTGGCGCCTGTAGCTCCAGCCCCGGAGTCGGTGCCTAGACAAGGAGCCGCGTGTTAACTTCTGAAGAGCCGCACGTGGCTCCGGAGCCCCAGGCTGGCCACCCCTGAGCTCATCTCTACTATGCAACTCGCTTCCCCCAAACATTCCTATGAGCCCAGCTTCACTCATGTGAGGGTTTACAGAAAAGCAAGCTACAAAAGGGGGCGCAAACAGTGACGTTCTATTTAGAAGCCGACATAACGTTCACAAATACACTTGCTAATTGCCCAGTTCAGGGTAGAGCAAAGCCCATCAAGTCCAAGTTTTTAAGGCTGGCAAAGGCAACTAACAAGCAGTTTCTAGCAACGTATCATGGAAGGCAAAAGTACAAGCAAACATTAGGTTTGTGTGCATTTATTTTGGGTTTTTTAGAAGAATATCTACCGGTAGGGTGGGGTTTTCAAAAGCACCGAAGGCAATAAGCAGCACAAATCTCTTTGGCTCTCAGTGGGATTTGTGCTCCTAACATCCGTGGGCACTTTTGAAAATCCCTTGCCCCTGTGGCCGTTGTATTGCAACATTGGGACACTCCTGATTTAGTAGCTGGCTTGTTACAATAACTAGCAGCTGTTGCAGCATTGATGGAGTTCCCAGAATCATCCCAGTTTCAGAAGCTCGAAGAAGAAATGGGCCAGACTTCCATGCCTGTGATCTCAAACCCTTGTGTAGCAGGAAGAGAGCCTGAAACATAAGCCCTTGTATTAGAGACCTGAGCTAAAGTGGTGGGCCAGCTTTGCTGATATAAAGCGAAGTTAGCAAAACTCAGGCTCTGCCTGCTTGCAAGTTCACAGAACCTGGCAAGAACAGGGCTGATATTGCAGAAACGCACATTCCTAAGAAGTGCTCAGCACAGATTACTCATGCAAACACATTCCAGAAGAGTGGTACCAGAACATCCCAGTAACAAGGATGGTACAAAAACATTCCCCACGGATAACAGGAACACACTGACCCCTCCTAAAAGATAAGGTCAGAATAACAGTGTAATAAATAAGAGGTTTTAATCGACCCAACATGTACAAGGTGATGGGTGATAACTAGCCACGTCAGGGGCCAGTAGCTAACTATATCAGAGGGGCAGTACGTAACTTGTTTGTATCCGGGTATAAAGAGTTATCTCTGAGAGAGTGTCTTGGTCCACCCGAGGGGGGAATAAAAAGTCCTGCCATTCACTGAGCTGCGTCCATTGTCACAGGCATACATGTCTTAGAATCCTCGTAAAGTCTGCCAGGGGCTATTACCATGCTTTGTCCACAATAAATCAGGCCTGGTGGCTTCGACCTTAACGGATCCTGTGGTCATGGGGCGGTTCACTCAAGGTCTGCTGTGCTGGCTGGCTGTGCAAGGCTGGGGCAGTGTAACCCACACACCTCCTCAGTGTGGTATTCTGTCCCATCTAGTGGCACCGAGACCACTTAGAGAGAGAGTTCAATGAGTCTGCTCTACAGCCTTAGTTAAGAGCCAGTTGGCTTTTAGCTCATGCAGTAGAGGCTCATGCACTAAGCTCCAGAGGTCCCAGGTTCGATCCCGCCTGCTGACAGCCGGGGTCTGTCAGCGTTACAGCCACACACAGGGAGATCACACTCACATGCAGCCAAACATCTAACAGCACCTTGAACAGCAGGGAAAGTGCAGGTCCTCTTCCAAACTGATCAAGCATTGGCCCTTACCTAGGAGACTTGGATGCGCCCGTCCTTGAGGCTAGAGTGCCCACTCCTGGGCCTAAGGTTGTCAGATCACAGAGGAGTCCCCACTAACTGCAAGAGACTGACTCCTAGCACTGAAGCATCTCAGTAACAATGGCTCATTTTATGTTTTTTGTAGCTTCACAAGATCAAACCACTCTGGCTCCTCCAGGCGTTTGCTGCACTCGGCGCGGAGAGAGCGGTACCGGGATTGGAGGAAACCGGGGCGAATCATCAGGAAGGCATGAGGATGCCTCGTGGGTCCTTTCTGAAGCTTGGCATGGGATGCTTATTGATCCTGAGGCACACAATCCCTTGTGAAGTCTGCACTGTGAAGGCCACCTACCTGTCATCTTGCAGTAGCCAGTGTGAAAGCCTCCTCGAGGCACCACAGTCTGCATCTCTGCCTGACACGTCTCTTCCTGAGACTGACCAAGCTTCTATTGCTCCAAGATTGTTGAGTCGGACACAGCTGAAGAGGCAAGAATAAGCTTCATCCAGGGATCGAAGTGCTGTTCCTCAGTGAGGACACACCCAGAAGAGACTCATCACAGCCATTGGGTGAGATCAGCCAGGGGTGGGGTGCCGTTTATTTTTGTCATGCTGCAAAGAGAAGAATGAGCTTGTCCACATATTTCGGAAACATCCATTATTGTAGCTTTTGGGGGTGACTCTTCTTTTTCTTACCCAGGGCAAGTGGGTTGCATTTAACTGGTATAGAGTGAAATTCACCCCTCTGTAGAGGGCCAGCACACTATTTCAGTCCCACTGAAATTCTAATTTGAGGACTTAAATGATGGACAGGCAAAATTTTCAAAAGTCATTGCTGATTTTTGGGTGCCTAACCTGGGACACTTTATAGGGGCCCGATTCCCAGGAAGTGCTGAGCACCGACCCTCTAAAAATTAGTCTCCTTCACAGTGTCTCAATTTGGGCATCTAAAAATGGCAGGACTCAGAATTAATCACTTGGTGAACTGTTGGCCCTCTACACAGGGATGACTCTCACCTATAGGGAAAATATAACTGTCTCTTTCTTATACTCACCACTATGAAATGTATCTGAGGCACACAGATCAATCTCACTGCATGGTATAGCACCAAATTAGGAATTAGTCCACCAGCTAAAATCTATTAAAATGATCTCATAACCAGCGTAGTTCAGATGGATCTGAGCAGCAGTGCCTAATGTAACAGCAGCTTTTGAATGAACAGAGAGATGGTGCTGAAAGATAACGTTTCTCTTTTAGTGGAGTCTTTCTTTGACATTATGGTGTAGGGACAAGTCTCAGTTTTCACATGCTGCAGTCTCACGGAGCAGAGTCCAATTAAAAATGGAAGAGGATCCGTTACTATTGGAAGGACTCTCGTAATAAGCTTCGCACATCCTCTAAAAACGAATGGTGGCCTTTGTAGGTAGAGCTGGCTGCCTTATTTGTTGAACAGAATATTCAGCATGAACGTAGCTCTTTTTCTGTTTGCACCTCTTCATCCATCTGATTCCTGCTCTTGGATTCATTACATGGAAGGCTTCGCCGAATACATTTGAACATATGTGGTGTTGGTTTTTTAAATTGTTCGCTTTGGCTATCGTGGTGTGTGATTGGCCCCTTAAGCCTCACAGGGTTGTGTCTGCTCCCTGATTGCGTGATTTGAATTTTTTAACTTAGAGGATCCAACCAATAAGTAGCAAATAACTCACTTTCTGGTACTGAATTTCAATGAATAACCATTCTTCCAAAGGCTGTGGTACTCTTAGAATTTGAGGACATTTTCAGAAATTCCCCGTGAGTCATGAATAATAAATAACAGAACCCCTGAAGAGCAGCAGACCAAACACAGTGTGCTTTAGTAGGGGAATTATTAGTGAACCCCTTTTTTTCAATTATCCAGTCAGCTCTAGTTCTGTGGGAGAAACATACAATTGGATTGTTTTTCCTTGCTGTGCGTGGTCTGCTGGCCCCTCTCTTGTCTTTCTAGTCTTAACATGAATTTGATTAAGAGCAATTATATATAAAAGGTGGTTTTGCTTAATTGTTTGCGCAATGCATGATGGGGTTGGTCCTGGTTATAAAAGCCAAGAACCTGCCCTCAGCTGAAGCCAGCAGTCCTGGAAGCTACTAAGGGTGATGCAGTCGGACTGTCCTGATAACTGCTTTGTTAAGGAAACATTAATGGGTGTGAATACCTGGTTATGTTGACCATACGGTCGGTTTATATTCTGTGTTTACTTTTTCTGTAGATCTTCAAATAAACTGATTTACATGTAAAACATTCAGACTGGCTTCCTCTTTGCTCATTCCTTGCACACCTCTCAGCTGCCCTTGAGTTCAGTGGGCAGAATCCATCCCTGTGCTGAGGGGCAGCAATGAGCCATTTAGGAGACCCAGTGAGATGACTTGTTCAGTGAGGCGCTATTCAATGTGGCTGAAGGTATCCGAATAGGCCTTAAATAAATACATGGTCCTATTAAAACAATAAGACTGAAATGCACAAAGAATACACTTTCTTATTGTCTAAAGCATGTCTTAAAAGAAGCAAAGGTCCTTTGCTAAAAGCCCCAAGCTCAATACACTATGAGTGCCTAGTGCAAAAGCCATCCTGCAGTGTGGCCATCTGATGTCCTTCTAAGGCAGGGGTGGGAAAACTACGGCCCGTGGGCTGGATCTGGCCCACGAGCCACACCACAGGGCTCGGCCCAGCTCTGGCCAGAGCACCAGGTTGGGGCCCCACCGATGGGTTGGCCCCGTTCTGGTGCTCTGGATGGGGTGTCGGGTCGGGGCCAGACCACGCGGCTCCCGGAAGCCGCGGCATTCTGGCCGGGGCACTGGGTCTGGGGCTGCACCACGTGGCTCCCGGAAGCCGCGGCATAGCCCTGCTCCGGCTCCTACATGCTCCAATGAGAGCTGAAGGGGCAGTGCCTGTGGATGGGGCAGCGTGCAGAGCCACCTGGCCACACTTCCGCATAGGAGTCAGAGAAGGGACATGCCACTGCTTCCGGGAGCCGCTTGAGGTAAGTGCCACTCAGAGCCTGCACCCCTGAGCCTCTTCCCACACCCCAACCCCCTGCCCCAATCCTGATCCCCATCCCACTCTCCAAACCCCTTGATCCCAGCCCAGAGCACCCTCCTGTACCCCAAACCTCTCATCCCCAGCCCTACCCCAGAGCCTGCACCCCTTCCCACACCTTTTCCTGAGCCCTGATCATAGAATCATAGAATCATAGAATATAAGGGTTGGAAGGGACCCCAGAAGGTCATCTAGTCCAACCCCCTGCTCGAAGCAGGACCAATTCCCAGTTAAATCATCCCAGCCAGGGCTTTGTCAAGCCTGACCTTAAAAACCTCTAAGGAAGGAGATTCTACCACCTCCCTAGGTAACACATTCCAGTGTTTCACCACCCTCCTAGTGAAAAAGTTTGTCCTAATATCCAACCTAAACCTCCCCCACTGCAACTTGAGACCATTACTCCTCGTTCTGTCATCTGCTACCATTGAGAACAGTCTAGAGCCATCCTCTTTGGAACCCCCTTTCAGGTAGTTGAAAGCAGCTATCAAATCCCCCCTCATTCTTCTCTTCTGCAGGCTAAACAATCCCAGCTCCCTCAGCCTCTCCTCATAACTCATGTGTTCCAGATCCCTAATCATTTTTGTTGCCCTTCGCTGGACTCTCTCCAATTTATCCACATCCTTCTTGAAGTGTGGGGCCCAAAACTGGACACAGTACTCCAGATGAGGCCTCACCAATGTCGAATAGAGGGGAACGATCTCCCACCCTCCAAACTCCTCAGTCCCAGCACAGAGCACCCTCCTACACCCCAAACTCCTCATCTCCAGCCCCACCCCAGAGCCTGCACCCCTTCTCGCACCTCTGCCTGAGCCCTGATCCCTCTCCCGACCTCCGAACCCTCGGTCCCAGCCCAGAGCACCCTCCTACACCCCAAACTCCTCATACCTAGCCCCACCCCAATTTTGTGTGCATTCATGGGCCTCCACACAATTTCTATTCCCGATGTGGCCCTCGGGCCAAAAAGTTTGCCCACCCCTGTTCTAAGGCAATACCAAAATTCAAACCTGGAGAGCTTGTTTTAATCTGTTGCTGTGAGACACAGCAGCAGAATTCAAAGATGCTACAGTCAGGTTAGTTTAACTTGTACTCTTTATATTCAAAGAAACCACTGGTATCTTTGCATCCACAGGGGACATGCTCCAATATGTCAAGATGATTACAGCATCCAATCTTACTAGTTCTCTTCTCATACCACTATGGGCAAACCCATGCCTCAGGATCAAGGCCAACTCCGCACTCAAGATAATTTGAACAGAAAAAGGATTAACAAAAATTAAAGATATAATACAAGATGATAGACTGGCCTCCTCCAATTACATGTGCAACAAATATCAGCTACTGCTGGCTCACAGTTCCTTCTTCGAGGATTCATACAAAGATACGGGACACTTGGTCTGTTTCAACTCTCTCACAACGAGAAGAATGTGTTAAGCAAAAGTCACTTTGTAGGAATTGTTTATAGGTGGCTTATTGCATTACACTCTCAAACTCAGTCTCAAAATAAAATGGGGAAGTGAACTTAGCCTTGCAATCGCAACAGAAAGCTGGGAGGACAGCTGGCTTAATATGAAAACTACCTCAAGTTCTTTATCCTTGCGATTCTTCCAGAACAAGATATTAAACAGGCATTCCTGGACTCCAGAATGTTTGTTTAAGGCTAGACTGACAACACACAGTGAATGCTGGAGATGCAAACAGCCCCATGCCAACCTACCACACATCATAGAATCATAGAATATCAGGGTTGAAAGAGACCTCAGGAGGTCATCTAGTCCCACCCCCTGTTCAAAGCAGGACCAATCCTCAACTAAATCATCCCAGCCAGGGCTTTGTCAAGCCTGACCTTAAAAACCTCTAAGGAAGGAGATTCCACCACTTCCTAGGTAACCCATTCCAGTGCTTAACCACCCTCCTAGTGAAAAAGTTTTTCTTAATATCCAACCTAAACTGCCCCGACTGCAACTTGAGACAATTACTCCTTGTTCTGTCATCTCCTACCACTGAGAACAGTCTAGATCCATCCTCTTTGGAACCCCCTTTCAGGTAGAATCATAGAATATCAGGGTTGGAAGGGACCTCAGGAGGTCATCTAGTCCAACCCCCTGCTCAAAGCAGGACCAATCCCCAATTAAATCATCCCAGCCAGGGCTTTGTCAAGCCTGACCTTAAAAACTTCTAAGGAAGGAGATTCCACCACCTCCCTAGGTAACGCATTCCAGTGCTTCACCACCCTCCTAGTGAAAAAGTTTTTCCTAATATCCAACCTAAATCTCCCCCACTAGTTGAAAGCAGCTATCAAATCCCCCCTCATTCTTCTCTTCTGCAGACTACATAACCCCAGTTCCCGCAGCCTCTCCTTATAAATCATGTGTTCCAGTCCCCTAATTATTTTTGTTGCCCTCCACTGGACTCTTTCCAATTTTTCCACATCCTTCTTGTAGTGTAGGGCCCAAAACTGGACACAGGCCTCACCAATGCTGAATAGAGGGGAACGATCACATCCCTCAATCTGCTGGCAATGCTCCTACTTACACAGCCCAAAATGCCGTTAGCCTTCTTGGCAACAAGGGCACACTGTTGACTCATATCCAGCTTCTCGTCCACTGTAACCCCTAGGTCCTTTTCTGCAGAACTGCTGCCTAGCCACTTGGTCCCTAGTCTGTAGCGGTGCATGGGATTCTTCCGTCCTAAGTGCAGGACTCTGCACTTCTCTTTGTTGAACCTCACCAAGTTGCAGTGGGGGAGGTTTAGATTGGATATTAGGAAAAACTTTTTCACTAAGAGGGTGGTGAAACACTGGAATGCGTTACCTAGGGAGGTGGTAGAATCTCCTTCCTTAGAGGTTTTTAAGGTCAGGCTTGACAAAGCCCTGGCTGGGATGATTTAACTGGGATTTGGTCCTGCTTCGAGCAGGGGGTTGGACTAGATGACCTTCTGGGGTCCCTTCCAACCCTTATATTCTATGATTCATCAGATTTCTTTTGGCCCAATCCTCTAATTTGTCTAGGACCCTCTGTATCCTATCCCTACCCTCCAGTGTATCTACCTCTCCTCCCAGTTTAGTGTCATCTGCAAACTTGCTGAGGGTGCAGTCCACGCCATCCTCCAGATCATTAATGAAGATATTGGACAAAACCGGCCCCAGGACCAACCCTTGGGGTACTCCGCTTGATACTGGCTGCCAACTAGACATGGAGCCATTGATCACTACCCGTTGAGCCTGATGATCTAGCCAGCTTTCTATCCACCTTATAGTCCATTCATCCAGCCCATACTTCTTTAACTTGCTGGCATCCTCTATAACTGTCAAAAAATGCATGTCTTCTGGAACACCATATTCAGGGCTCTCTCAAAACCTTTAAGTATTGCTCTCCTTCTCCAGGCGTGTGTATTTTAGGGGTGCTGGATGTTGGTATGACCAGGTAATTGCAGCAACTAATTTTAGGGGCCAAATGAGTTATTTTGAGAAAAAGGAAATCTGCAATTCCTCCCTCCTGCACAGACAGGCTCAGTGAGCTCTCTATTGCATCGATGGAAAAAATGAGTCTGTCTAATAGAAACACTTGGGAAAAATGTGAGAACATCTGGTGACACCTGAACCTGTTGTTCACTTTTGCAGTTTAGTATATATGAGTCCCTGGTACTCAGAGGTGAGGCTCAGATTTTGTCAAAGATATTTTCAGTATAAGTCATGGACAGGTAATGGGCAATAAAAAAAAATTCATGGAAGCCTGTGACCTGTCTATGATTTTTACTAAAAATATCCCTGATAAAATAGGGAGGGAGGAGGGTCCAGCACCCACAGCAACTGGGGATTCTGGGTTCCCCTCACTCCCCACCACAGTGACTGGGAGCTCTGGGGTCCCCCCATGGGCCACTGCAGCTGGGCTGCTGCTAGGGGGACCCCCATGCCACCCGCCATGGCTGAGCAGCTGCGGGGAGCCCTGCGGCCTGCAGTGAGTGGGAGCTCTGGGGTCCCCCTGCCACTCCCAGCAGCTGAGATCTGCAGGGTCCCCCCACTGCCCAAGGGGCCTGGGAGCTCTGGGGTTCCCCTGCTGCCTGGCAGCTAGGAGCTGCTGGGGGCCCGCTGCCAGCTGCGGCTGAGAAGTGGGGCTGCCTGCTGACAGCTCCAGCCCCGGGGCAGAAAATATCACGGAGGTCTCTGGAAGTCACAGATTCCATGGCATAATCGTAGCCTCACTCAGAGGT